TTGCGAATGTATGCAAGATCCGATATCGAGTTAATTTAATTTGGGGAATTATTTTCGAACGGTTTTTTCCCCTTTGGTCATCTTTAAAGTAAACACTGAGGACGAGTTTTGAAATTTACAACACAAATATTATCTCTGTGAAAAATTGCTTAAACCGAACATAGTTAGATTTTTCTAAAATATACTAAAATTCGTTGAAGAATGTATCGTATTTGTAATATAACAGTTTTTTTGTTAAATATAGTATTTATTTTTAAAAATATAATTTATCAAAATAATTTTAATAATTTAGTTTAAGTTTTTTGTTTTTGTATTTTTAACTTATTTTTCAAAATTTAGGGTTCGGCACAATGTCCTTAAATTAACGGTACCTATTGTTATAGGTATAATATTTACTACGATTGATGATTCAGGTATAATAATAAGGTACCAGGCAAATAATAGGCATTCGAACAACAAAGCCCTGATTATTATTAATGATTTTAATAGAAAATTTGCAAATATTTAAAATCAAATAATCATATAGGTAAATTCACTATGTTGCAAAATTTTATATATTTTATTTATATTAATGTGGCGATTGATTCAGGTATAATATAAAATAGCGGGAAAATAGTATTTATTTGAACAAATAAGCTTATCATTTATGATTATTTTTAATAGAAAATTTGAAATTATTTAGAATTTTGTTAAATAATCATATGTGTAAATTAACTATGCTGCAAAATGTTCTAATTTTATTTACATTAGGGTATATTCTAGTCTAAGGGCATGAATATTTTGCGAAGTTTGAAAGGTAATAAAAAAATAAAAATAATAAAAATAGCTATATAATTTTAATTGTAGAAGGTGGTGAAGTGAGGGACTCATAAAATTAACACTGAAAAAGAAAAAAATTATCATTTGAACAGCTATATCTCCAAAAATATTTAAAATTTTGAAATATTTTCTTGTACACATATTCTAGAGTAAATGAACTTTGAAAATATCAAAATAAAATTAAAATTTTAGGTCAGAATACACCCTAAGTTGGTTTTTCATGAATTTTGGATTTTCTGATGATTTCTCAATGATCTACAGTTTTCGTGGTCAGATTCTTGTAGTATTTTTGTGAGATGAATATAATTTATTACTCTTGATAGACGACAGATATTTACATATACGTTAACGCAAAAGGGTCCTAATGATAAATCAAGCAACCCGTTCTCTATAAAGACATTATTTAGCATCTAAAATCCATTAACAAATGATCCCGTGCGACGAACACGCCGCCATTTAGTCACGATCACTCCAGTTAGCAAATGGCCGATTAACCGCGCAAACAAATAATACAAATTTGAATAAATTCGCGCATTATCAGACGCCATTAAGCGAGAAATGTGTGAGCGCCACACCCTAGGATAGAGCATAAATCATACCATAACAAAGCACAAATATTTATAAATGTTATTTTTTTCCACGCGATCTGTAATGTACACACATGTGTATCGGCCACCGCACCGGTGCGTTTATTATTCCGATTTGGCAGGATCCCTCCCCTATTTAGCGCGTATGAAACGCAACCCCTCTGACGCACCCTGGATCGGAGGAAAACGCGCGCAACGAATTGTATGTATTATTGTACCAACATATGAAAATACAAATCCTTCAGTCGAAAAATATGTGTAGCAGAATGCCTGTATCGAGCTTTGTTCTGCTCGCAGCATCGCTATGGCATCGAGCTCTTTCTCTCGTTTAGTATTTACGATGTACATCGGCAAACATTTACACTGCGCAGCTTGTTTGTTTGATATAAACATCCAAACAAAACCGGCCCATAGGCCTGCTCTCTCGCGCTCGTAGCCGGTTCGACCGTATGAGCAGGACGTAGCCTCAGCGTAGGCCACACCTCGCCGTCTACGGTTGGCTCGGTGCTTTTTTGTATCGCAGTCGGCGCAGGAGGCGTTACTTTCACGGAAACTATAAATGCGCTGCGGACTGGCGTAAATCAAGTTAGTTCTACTTTATCTATCGAAGCGAGCATGTCGTCTTAAGTGTTATTACGTTAGCGGTGAATTTGTTTTTGGATTATTGATTGGTCGGGAGTATTGTGTGTAGATTTTGTACTTGAACTGTTTTATATATGTCGTGCATTATTAAAACTGAAGAAGAAACAACGATGGTGAACGCTGAGAGTTGTGTTAACCATCCAGTGACGGTGAATGCGCCCAGACGCGATATGGATTTCAAATCAAGCTTTAGCATTAGTTCCATATTACCGGAGACCGTACGTGATAGTTCGAGTCCCGTCAGTTCATCGGCTTCAATATTTAAGTGTGAAGATTTGTCCGATAATGAATCTGATCTGGATGTGACTGGTGGTGCTTCGCCACTTGATTGCAGTTCATCCCGCACAAACGACGAAAGCGAAAACAACACAACCACCGACGGCAAACCTGCCGCGACAAAAGGCAATGAAAAACCACCTTACAGTTATAATGCTTTAATTATGATGGCAATCCGACAATCGCAAGAAAAACGATTGACTTTAAATGGAATCTATGAGTATATTATGCGAAATTTTCCGTATTATCGTGACAACAAGCAAGGTTGGCAGAATTCGATAAGACATAATTTGTCTTTGAACAAATGTTTTGTGAAAGTACCAAGACATTACGATGATCCCGGCAAAGGCAACTACTGGATGTTGGACCCATCATCCGAAGATGTATTCATTGGAGGAAGCACCGGTAAATTGCGCAGACGTTCAACTGCCGCAAGCAGAAGTCGATTGGCAGCTTTCAAAAGATCGCTGGTTTTATCGCCGGCGGGACACATGCCAGGATATTCACCGTACGCACATCCAGCGTACATGTACAGTCATCCCGCTTTATTAGCTTCAGTGTATTCGAGGTATAACCCATATCTACCAATGGTTTTACCGAAAAATCCGATGGTACCACCACAAACGCATATGCCTCCAAATCCCGCCGCTATGCCTCCAGCAGCAAATCATGGATTCAGCATGGAGCGATTGTTAGCTGAACAACCTGTGAGGCAACAAATGTTACCAGTAGGAGCACACCCGCAATATCAAGATTTCTACCAAAGGCTATTGCTGCAGCAGCAATTGCAACTTACCGCTGGTTTGTTGCCGAACTCTCCAGTTGGCGGACCAATTTCGCCTCCACATGCCTCCAACCCGCCGCCACATCAAATGTTCAAGCCGATTACTGTTGTGACGCGGCATAGTTGAAATCTGGACGATATTTGTCAAGCTGTGTGATCGTACTGATATTTTAGTTTTCTTTGACTGTGATCATGATATTTTTATTAGATAAACATTATAGAAGTATCATCATATGTGTGCCTCAATGTAGCATGTTTTTACGATTCCAAATATTTGATTTTGTATGCAACCTGCAAATATTTTTATTTGTAAATGTGTGAACAAGACATATCAGTTTGTTAAAATCTTGTAAATAATATTGCATGGTGCATCTGTGCAATGCACTACTTTATTTATTCTCAAATGTAAATAAAATCACATTGTAAATAATAATAAATGTAAAAATCTAATTGTACATAAAATTGTAAATATGTATAGCTGAATCAAAAATTAATTATATATAAATAATTTAAAGAGATTGAAAATTATCAAAAGAAAATATACGAATAATTCAAATTTATATATGCATTTTATTGATTACTATGTTTGGTATATTTGATTTTATTTCAGGTTTTTTTTTCAATCAATATATTTTAATATTTTTTCAAATAATTTAGCAAATACTTGCATATGCATTCCATTCTTTTCTTTACAAATAAATTAATGCTGCATTTAATCACAAGAATTTAATTATTCAATTTGAATAATTAGTCTTATTTGCATGTAATATTTTTTGTGGAAAATCGATAAGCAAAAATTTTGTTTGCATACTTCTTGCAGTTTATGAGTTGAAACCAAGTTAAAATATTTTTCTTTATATATTCTGCTTTATTTTATGAATACATTTAGTATTGAAATAATAATTACTACTACGTTAACTACTTTAATTATTTTAGCAATTAAAATATATACATGAATATTTCATGCAAATGACTGTCAAATTATTCAGAAAAATGAATATAAATGCAGAATAATATTTGTTTGCAGAGAAAAGGAGGAAATTTATCAGTTAGTTTCTGCTAAATTATTTAAAAAAAAATAGTAAATTTTGATTTGATCCTGAAATCTAATATTTTAATATTAGTTTGTTTAGCGAGCTAATGAAAAATTCCAATATTAGGTTGTTTAGTGATGGTTTTTAAAAATCTATATTGGTTATTTAAAAACTATTTTCTTAATGCAGGTTATTTATTTACTAAATCAATGCTTTGATAAAATTCTAACAACTTCATTGAAACAATTCTAATTTAAGTACGTTGCTCTATTACGTGCCTTCTGTAATGTTTTGTATAATAATAATAGTACATGCAATATAATGTGCAATGATGGAAAACAATTTTATAAATGGTGGATGGAATCATTGGATTTCTTAGCGAAATCTATAATAATAAAAAAAATGTTAGGGGTAGTAAAAATGATTTGGTTGAAAATTCTTTGAATCTTTCCAAATGGGGCAAATTTTGCGGGAATATATTTTTAAACGATATTTGCTGCGTTTGCAAAGTGGTAGTTCGTGCACTTAGTCAATTCCAGTAAAATTTAAATTAGAATTAAATTTATAATTTGAAAATTATCTTGGATAACTGTCATAAGAAAGATGCTAAAAGTGGCGATTTCATTTTCTTTTTGCCAAATGGTGCAAAATGGCGCAATCGGCTTATACAAACATATTTTGAGGTGATGATTAAAAAAGTTCTCCAATCGATGCCTTTGATCCTGGGCTTCAATAATTTGCAGATTTTTTATATAAACACTAGCAATGATCAGTATGTTAAATGTTCAATACAGAATTTTGACGCAAATTACGAATATATAACAATATTTAAATCTTTTCGGAACTACATCGCAATCGTTTTACTATAATTCCACTTCTAGAAAATTCTTCGAAGACATTTGCTGCGGTTCGCATTACGGTCAACCGTCGCTCTAACCCTGAAACGTGGCCAAAACGGCCGTTTACTGTTACAGATTTTGCCATTAAAGATGAACAAATTCATTTCTAAACAAATTACCAGAAAAACCGATGTAATTACGGTCTCGTGAAGGACTTTTCGTGTGCCAGCGATTCATCTGATGCCACGGCGGACGCACATTCGTTTCCAATTCATTTTATAAGTGATATATAACGGGGGTGCAGTAAAATAATAAAGCGATAAAATTTTCACTTTCCTGATGTCGAATATTATGGAGAATGGCCCAGGCACGAACTAGGTAGTAATAGACTCTTTTTTGGAATATAACTTACTTTGCATCTTGTACCTCCTTGTCCAAGTAATAATAAATTGAATGTTTTAGTATACTCGTCAAGAAGAATTGTCAGAATTTTATTTATTGACGAGTACATTTGTCATGCGTATAAAACTTTGACCATAGGCTATTTTGATAGTTATTTTTTAAATAAAAATATTCTTAATTTTTAATCAGAATATTTTGAGGCTTCGCCGATTTACTGCAAAACAAAATCTTACCTCGATTCTGGCAACATACGATCTGTGCGCACAGTTCAATGAGGTTATATTAATTTTAATATAATCAGCACCATTTCTTTTATTTTTTCTTATCTAGGTCTTGAATTAATAATTGATGTATTAAATTAAATTCAAATTTCTCGGCGCACGGGCGGCGCGCGTTCCCAGAAATATTACATTTGTCCACTTTTATTATTTGTTGCTATTGACTTTAAGAACGAGGACATACTGGCAAAGCAATTTGTTGGGCTATCGT